AGAGCTCAAAACTCAACCCCCATTTACTGCACCAGCTCTTACTCAGAAACGTATTTGGGCACAGATTTTCCGCACCAAATCCTGGCTTGCTCCTGGTTCAGAGGATGAGCTTTAGCAGCTCAGCTACACAACAACCTGCATCTGATGAGAGACTAAAGCTTGGCCACATGCTGCTCAGATGGGGTCTTGCCTACTCACAAGTGAACAGAGAAGCTTTACAACCAACCTTATCTTCCCAGCCCTGCACTGAGTGGGGCACTGGGCTAAGAAGATCCCTTCCAGCCTCTGGACAGAGGGGAACAGCTTAAGCACTGAAGCAGTAACAGGATGCGCGTTCTGACCAGCAAATACATCACTCCAAACCTGCATCTCCTTGCTGCTGCAGCACTGAAGGTTGGCTGTAAAGCTTTTCCATCCAGTTTTCATGTAAGACCCACAGAAGCTGCTGCTGTCAAAGGACTGTGGATGTGATGCAGCCAACTGCACCTCAGTGAGTGCCCATCCCTGCAGAGGCTTCAGGCCCACTTTCACACACGGGCATGATGGAAAGGGTTAAATCAAACACATACCCTTCAGAATCCCAGCTTGGTTTGGGTTGGAAGAGACCTTAAAGCTCCTCCAGCTCCAACCCCTGCCACGGGCAAGGACACCTTCCACTAGAGCAGCTTGCTCCAAGCCCCTGTGTCCAACCTGGCCTTGAACACTGCCAGGGATGGGGCAGCCACAGCTTCTCTGGGCACCCTGTGCCAGCACCTCAGCACCCTCACAGGGAAGAGCTTCTGCCTAAGAGCTCATCTCAGTCTCCTCTCTGGCAGGTTAAGGCTTTCAGGAAAGGTGCTGTGGCTCAGAAACAGTGCCAACCACCCGACTGACTGCTGCAAGAGGAAGAAATGGGCAAAGACATGTGCAAGACCAAAGGGAAGACTGCTCTGTTCTCCTATCAGCCAGGGAACTTGGCTCTAGGAGCAAAAAACCCTGCACATCAGTACGTGTGAGACCAACCTGACCCCAGCCAACACCACCCCATGGGAGGCACAGGACGGACGGTGCCTTGGAAGAGGTGGGCTCAAGATGTTATGCTAGAGATAACACATAACCAACCTCTCATGTCGAGAGGCACCAACGAAACCACCTCACTCCGCCACACCAACCACCTCCATCTGGTTCAGGGTCACCATCAGCAAGCTGCTCCATTGGGGTGACACTGGCAGAGGAGACCACCAGGCATGACATGACCTTGGGAAGGTGAAGCAGCCAGGGACTGGTTTAACCCTGGGATTTAAGAGCTATGCAAATGCCTCTCCTTCCTCAAGAGGCTCTCAATTAATGAGGTGTGAGGCTCAAGCAGCTGCGCTGGAGGTAACAGAAAGGAAGACACTCACTTTGTGATTTCCCCAAACAAATTACAAGTGGTTAAAGTGAAAGCCCAACTGTGATTATTGAGCTCCATCGCTGCCTTAGCGAGATTAAAATTTCATTTCTATGAATTATTTTAGATTTAGCCTCAATTTAGAGCCATTATTTGCAGAGCAAACAGATGCAAAGCAGGTTTAATCTCCAAATACACAGCTGGGCATTTGCACAGGGAAGGCTGAAGAATTAATACAGGAAGAATAAGGAGCATCCCTGCAGCGATGGAGGTGTGGGTGGGGTCAGGAGAAGAGGAACAAGAGCTGGGGCTCAGTTTGCACCAAGTCACCTTCAGCCCAGCCTCAAGCACCAGGTCTCACAGCCCGTGTTCACCCCTTGTGGGCTCAGGCCTCTGCTGTCCCTGCCTCGAGGTGGGGATGTCGCCTCTGTCCTGCATGGTGGAAGTGGCAGTTCTAAGCGGTGACAGCCCAGAACACTCCAGAGCTCTGCAATGGAGTTTAAAGGGTAAAACAAAGAGCAGTTATATTAACCCCACACAGAGAAGCTTTGATTGCTCACCTGTATCTACCAGCAGTGTGATCAATACCTGTCCAGGAAGCCACTGGTTTGAGCTACACTGACAATCAGCACACACAGTGTCAGCAACCCCAGAGTGGCCCCACACCCCCTGGACCACTCACCAGCTTTTGGAGAAGGAAAAGAGGATGGAAGCAGTATGATAAATGCTCAAGCAAGGCTGTGAGTGCAGAGGCAGCGCATGGAGATGAGCAGAGGCTTTGTGATGGGGCAGAGGGGGGACAGGGACCTTTGAAAGCAGACAGGACAGAGCACGTGCTAGGGTGACAGAAATCAGCCTGCTCTGCCTCAGCTGCAGCCTCTGCTTCCCCAGGACCTGCACCATGGCATGTGGAGGATGTAGCAGGGAGCAGCAACTTCCAACTGCCCCATCCTGCTCTGGACACCCACCTCACAGCTTCCCCCACGGCTGCTGGGCAGCCTGGGATGAAGCTGAGGTGTCAGCTTGGATCAAGCAGCAAAACCATTCCTGCTCCCTTCCCCTGTCTGCTCTTTACCATGGGCTTTGAAGCCCAAAGCAGGGAGCAGGCTCCAGCACCAGGTACACAACAAAACCCAACCAGAGGCACAACCCTGAGACTACAGACTCACAGTGGAATCACTGAGCTCCTCAGGTGGCAGGGGACAAGCACAAAAAGCCAAGAGGTAGCAGCGATTCCCCCTGCCTGGCTTGGCAGGGAGCAGAATGCCCCCAGGAGCAAGCTGCCAATGAGATCTCCATCCCTGTCACCATGAGGTACCATTGACAGCTCACAAAACACATCTCAAGAACCCCCAGAGATCACACACAAGACTCCCGCTGCACCTCCTGCCACTAATGTTCTGATGGGTTCCCCCTCCCCAGCCTCCAGCTGGGTCAGGAATTCTCCTTCCCATCCCAAAGGACCCACCACACCATGCCTGGGCTCACCACACTGCTTGCTCCACTCCCACCTCACCCTGCAAACCTTGGGATAGGGGCTGGATCCCTTCAGGAGGAGCATGGTCCCCCTCCTCTTGGACTTTCAGGTGGGACAGCCAAGCCCACCACGGGCACAAGCTCTGCTCCTGGCTCCAGGTCTCACCATGGTGAGGACCACAGCAAGCCCTTCCCTGGGCCACTGTCCCATCCCATCTCCTCCCTCACCTGAGCCCCAGTGACTGATCCAACCTCAAGCCTTGGGTTTGGCGTGTTGCTGCAGACTCAGCAAGCCAAGAGCTTTCCTCAGAGCCCTGTGGGACAAAGATGAGGACAGAGGCCTGGCCAGGGAGCTGGGCTGCTTGAATACCACTGGAGTTAAACACACACCTCACCTGCATGCAGCCTGCACCAGCCCCATCTGCATCCCAACGACTTCCCCTGTGAAGGGCACCACCTGAATCCCCAGTGCCAGGAGGCCACATCCCTCAGGCACCAGCTCCAACAGGACCATACCCACAGCTCAGGAGCTCCCAAAGGGCTGGCGAAGCCCACCTGCAGCAGTGAAGCTTTTGGGGCAGGAACCTCCCCAAGGAGTCATCAAAAGAGGCATGAGTTGGGTGGTCAAATCCCACCTGAGAGCACTGCCTTATCCCTGATCCCAGCATGAAACAAGTGGCCACATCCTTAAGGAAACACGTAAGGACTGACTTTTCATCACACATTATCACTGGCACACTTGGAACAACCATGCAAGCCCAGAGCCAGGCCACTCAAACCCTCCTGGCAGCGTAATGGGCACAGCCACTGCCCAAACTAAACCCTTAATCCCTAAGGACGGCAGAAAGCTCTTCAGAGCTGACAACAGAGCAAGGAAACCCGCAGTGACAGCCAGCCCTGCTCACACACACGGGAATTCCACCACGACTGGGGTCAGGCTCCTGGAATAGGAGCTATTAAATGGAGTTAAACTGCGTGGAGGTGCCTCTGCACGGTCCCATCCTTCCAGAGGCGCTGAGAACACAGCGACAACCAAGGGAAAACCCCACACCAGGACACGACCCCCGACCCCCCCTGCCCTCGGGCTAGAGCTGGGAACTGCCGAGAAGGTGGAAAACTCCTTCCTGTGTGTTTGTGGAGCGCCTGGAGTGGATCCCCTTGGATTTAAGCCTGGCCAAGCAGGACACTGCGAGCCTCGGGCTCCTTGGGACAGCCAGTAACGCACACGGGGTGACTTCAGCTGTGACAGTGGGATAACCATGGGTTGTAACCAGGATAAACCTGAGTTATAACCGGGATAGACCCCAGTTATAACCGGGATAAACCTGAGTTATAACCGGGATAAACCTGAGTTATAACTGGGATAGACCCCAGTTATAACCGGGATAAACCTGAGTTATAACCGGGATAAACCTGAGTTATAACTGGGATAGACCCGAGTTATAACTGGGATAGACCTCAGTTATAACCGGGATAGACCCGTTATAACCGGGATAAACCTCAGTTATAACCGGGATAAACCTCAGTTATAACCGGGATAAACCTCAGTTATAACCGGGATAAACCTCAGTTATAACCGGGATAGACCTGAGTTATAGCCGGGACAGACCTCAGTTATAACCGGGATAAACCTCAGTTATAGCCGGGATAGACCTCAGTTATAACCGGGATAAACCTCAGTTATAACCGGGATAAACCTCAGTTATAGCCGGGATAAACCCCAGTTATAGCCAGGATAATCCCCAGTTATAACCGGGATAGACCCGAGTTATAACTGGGATAAACCCGAGTTATAACCGGGATAAACCTCAGTTATAGCCGGGATAAACCTGAGTTATAATCAGGATAGACCTCAGTTATAGCTGGGATAAACCTGAGTTATAACCAGGATAAACCTGAGTTATAACCAGGACAAACCCGGGCTATAACCGGGATAACCCTCGGCTCCAACCGGGACAAACCCCACTTCCAAGCCAGACCCCCAGCCCAACACCCGGTCCCGCAGGCCCCAGGCCGCAGCCCCCGCTCCCACCAGCGGCCCGAGCGCACACCCGGGCTTGGCCCCGCTGCCGGCCCACGGGAGGCGGCAGGAGGGTCGCGGCCCACCCCAGTGACCCCCCCTCCCCTCACCGGGAGCCCCGTCCCGCCCCGTCACCTCGCAGCTGAACTCCATCTCGGCGTCCATGGTGGCGATGCGCACGGTGAACGTCTTGGGCTGCTTCCTCTTGAGCGAGCTGAAGCTCATGCGGGACGCGATGGCCCCGGCCATGGCGGGGTACCTCAGCGCGGCGGCAGCGCCATGGCGGCGCCCGGCCCTCCTCCCCGCCGACCCGGCAGCACCGCCCCGACCCCGCCCTCGCCGCAACCCTATTGGTCTCTCGCCGCTTTGGTCCCGCCTCGCCATGGCGTTTATCCAATAGAAAAGCGAGTGATGGGAGGGACGCGGCTGTGGTTGGGGAAAGTGGATGTCGCTCAAATGAGAGGGTGGGGAAGCGGCGCCCTCTTGTGGCAGGAGAGGCAGACTGCACGCCTCGCACTGGCCGGTGGCGCATGCGTGCGGTGGGGTGGAGATGGGCGCTAGGACCCTGCAGCGCGGGGCGGGGGGGTCCCGGTGAGGCGGGGAGCACAGGGGGAGCTGCCCCCCCCCCCTCCCCCCCCGGGGGTCCCGGTCCCTCCCCGGGTCCCGGCTCTGCCGCAGCGCCCCTGGTCCCGCTCCGGGCACCGGGAGGGGGCTCGGGAAGGCGGGGACAGGGGGCGGGACCGGAGCAACGGGGCTTGAAATGGGGCTGGGACCGGGATTGGAGCAGGGACAGCGGCACCGGGATAGCGGGGAGGGACCGGGATAACGGGACAGGGCTGGGAATGGAATCCGGACAAGGGCACTGAGACTGAGATAACGGGACGGGGACTGGTACAGAAGGACGGGATCGGTATGAGAACCGGGAAGAGGGGCGGGACTGGAAGCGGGACGCAGGGACCAAGACAGCGGGACTGGGAGAGCGGAACGGGAGTGGAACCGGGACAACGAGGAGGGACTGGGACCGAGACTGGAGCAGAAGCAAAGGCACCGGGACAGCGGGAAAGGTCTGGGACGGGGTCCGGGACAACGGGACAGGACTGGGACGGGAACCGCGACAAAGGGACTGGCACTGAGCTGACCTGACGGGACAGGAGCAGGGGGACAAGGGACGGGACTGGGACAGGGACGCCGGGACCAAGACGGCGGGACTGGGACAGCGGGACGGGAGCGGAATCGGGACAACGGGGCAGTGGCAACGGGAGTGGGACCGGGATAACGGGAAGGGAGAGGGACTAAAACCAGGATCAGGACAACGGTACCGGGAAAGGCACAGCGGGGCCGGGACAACGGGACCGGGAAAACAGGACGGGACCAGAGCCAGGGCAGCGGGACGGGACTTGGGCTGGAGCTGGGGCTGGGAAAACGGGACCGGGACAACGGGGCCGTGTAACGGGGCCAGGACTGGGTCCAGGACGGGGGTACCGGGAAGGGCTGAGCCCCCACCCCCCCTCGCCCCGCTCCCCCCCCGGCCCGTCCGCCCCCGCCATGGGGAGAACGGGCCCTCTGTGCCCGCGGACAATGCGGACATTGACGGGGCGCGGCCCCCCCGTGTCCCCGCAGCACCCCCATGGCAGGAGCCGACGAGGCCCCCCCCCGCCGCCCCCCACAGCCCGCGGGCCCGGACACCACGGTGGGTACGGGGGGGGGATTGGGGGAGCCAAGGGGGGCCGGAGGTGCGGGCATGGGGAGGTACCGGGGACAATGGGAGATGGGGAGGGGGGGGTCATGAGGAGCTATGGGGGGGGGCAACGGGGGGTATGGAGGTGGGGGGGCAATGGGGGCTGGATGGGGGCAGAGGAAGCCATAGGGGACAATAAGGGCTAGGGGGCTATGGAAGGTCATGGGAGGGTGTGGAAGGGCAATGGCAGCTATGGGGGATCAATGGGGCTGGATGAGGGCAGGGGAAGCCATGGGGGGCAATGGGGGCTGAGTTCAGGCAGGGGAAGTTATAGGGGGCAATAGGTGCTAGGGGGCACCCAAGGGTTCTATGGGGTGCTGGGGGACCCGTGAGGAGCTATTGGGGGATATAGGGATGGGCCAGGGGAGCTCTGGGGGGGTCACTGCGGGGTGGGGGTGCCTGGGAGGGAGCCGAGGGGTCTGGGGGGGGGGGTCCGGAGTCCCTGAACTTGCTGAAGCCCCTGCCCAGCCCTGCCGGGCCGTGCCGCGGGTCCACGCCTTCGGGAAGGGGGGACAGGCGCTGCGCAGGGACCCCCGCGCCCCCCCCGCCATGCGGGGCTGGCTGCGCAAGCAGGTGGGGGGTGAGGGGGGGGCTGTGGGGTCTGGGGGGGGGGCTGAGGGGGGAGTCTGTGGGGCTTGGGGTCTGGTGGGGATGTGGGGTTTGGGGGGCTGGGGTGGGGGTTATGGGGTGGGAGGGGTCTGGGGGGCTGAGGGGGGAGGGTTTGAGATCGGGGAGGACTGGGGTGGGGAGTACGGGGTATGAGGGGCTGGGGGGGGCTGAGGTGGGGGTATGGGAAGTGGGGGTCCGCAGTGGTGGGGATCGTGTTGGGGCTCTGGGGTGTTAGGGGTCTTTGGTCGGGTTATGGGGCGTCTGGAGTGGGGGTGCTGTGGTGTTACGGTGTTTGGGGCATCAGAAGGGGTTTGGGGGTCTCCGGGGGTGACGGGTTTGGGGCGGCCTCACCCCTATGCTCCCCCACCCTCGGCCCCAGGACAGCTCCGGGCTGCGTCTGTGGAAGCGGCGCTGGTTTGTGCTGGTCGATCTCTGCCTCTACTACTACAGGGGTGAGAGGGGCTGGGGGGCACCTGCGGCCCTGTGGAGGTTGGGGGTCCATGGGGACCATCAGAGATCCTTAGGGATTGGGGTCCCTGAGGGGGCTGAAGGAGTCGGGGGAGAGAGGTTTGGTGGGACCCATAGGAGGTCCCTGACATCCCCCCATTGATGCTGGGGGGTCTCAGGGTGCTGATGGGGCCCCCCCCATTGAGACCCCTCTGCCCCCCCTCAGACAGCAGCGAGCAGCGAGTGCGGGGCGGCCTCCCCCTGCCCGGCTACGAGATCCGCGTCCTGCCCCCTGCGCCCCGCGCCCCGCACGCCCCCCAGTTCCTCTTCACGGTCAGCATCGCTCCCTGGAGCCCCACAGCCGGGGGTGCCCTATGGGGAGGGCACACACAGAGGGTCCGGACCCCTCCGCCATGGGCACCCCCGTCCTCAGGCCGAGCACCCCGGGATGCGGACGTACTGCCTGGGGGCCGAGACAGCCGAGGAGCTGAACGCCTGGGTCTGCGCCCTGCGCCGGGGGGCATCGCCCCTGCTCCGGTGAGGGGGTACCAGGGGGCTGAGGCCATGGGGCCGCATGGGGGGGGGGGGGGGCTGAAGGGGGATTTTGTGGGCTTTGGGGAGGGGGCAGAGAGGGTTGGGGGGGGTCACAGTGGTTTGGGTATATTTAACCCCTTAACCCCTGTGCCAGCTCCCCACAGGAGCCCTGGGGTGCGGGACCCCCGTCCCCCCCGTTGCCCTCTCGGTGCCCCCACCTGCACCCTCCTTGCTGCACTTCGGGCCCTCCCCTGCCCCCCAGCAAGGTGAGCACTGAAGGGGGGGACCCCTCTGTTTAACCTGCCCCATGGTGACCCTCAGAGCAGCCTCCTGCACCCCAGCCTGTGGCACTTGGGGGCTGGAGTCTTCACCCCCCAGCCTAACACCGAGTGCCCCCCCGCTGCTCTGACACTCTCTGTCCTGGGGTCCCATCGGTACTGGGTGCCCCCGGGGGGGGGGTAAGGCCGGGGCGGCACCCCCACACCTCGGGGACTCCTGTGCCCCACCATGGGGGATTTGGGGGTCCCCGTATCCCACAGCAGAGACCCCAAACACCCCCTGCCTTAGCAGGGCACCCCAATGTACCCTCCCTGGGGGGGGGGTGGTTAACCCCCATAGGGACCCCATATAATCAGCCCCTCCAGCGCTGGGGGTCTCGTCCCGTCCTGCTCCCATCCCGCTCCCCAGGGCTGGGTGTGGGTGCTGGGGTAGGGCGAGAGGGCTGTGGTGTGCCGGGGGGGGGATATGGGGAGCCCATGGGGCGGGAGGGGGGTGCTATGGGGCGGACCCGCCGGTGCCCCGCCCCCTCACGCCGGTGCCCGCACCCCAGGAGGAGGCCCCGGCCCAGGGGAGGCGCTGCGGGACCCCCAGCACCGCGCACGGCGGGACCCGGACCCGGTCCCGGAGCCTCCGCGGGGCGCCCGAACCCGCGGGAGCCGCTGTCCACGCCTTCCGGCCACGCCCCGAGCTGACCACGCCCCCAATGGGGAGGAGCCAGCGGGAGCCGCGCCCTCCTGGAGCAGCGACCAATCAGCAGCCGCCTCCTCCGGCCGGCAGCGGGCGGGACGCAGCGGAGCATGACACCATTGTCAATCAGACGCCGGCTTCTCCAACGAACTCCTCTGATTGGCTGCTGCCCTTCCGGGGCACCGCCTCCCCTCCCGCAGCAGCCAATGAGACGTCGCCGAGGGGGCGAGAGGGGATGAGTGGGCGGGGCTCTCAGCGAGAAGGTGTGGCCGGGAGCGGGGCTCGGCGGCCAATCAGAATCACGCTCCTACAGGCCAGCTTCTGAGGGAGGGGCGGGGCGCCACGCCCCTGGAGGGCGTGGCCGGACTGAAAGGGGGCGTGGCGGGACTGGAAGGGGGCGTGGTCGGACTGAGATGGGGCGTGTCCAGCGCAGCCCCCGCCCGGTGCGGGGGAAGATGGCGGCGGCGGCGGCGCTGCGGCGGCTGCGGTGGGGCCGTGGTGGCGGCGGCGGGGCCGGTCCCGGAGCGCGGTGAGTGGGGCCTGGCCGGGACCCCCGCTTCCAGCACCCCTCGAGGCCCCGTCCCCCCCGAGCCCTCCAAGGCCGGGCCTGGCGCGGGGCCCCCGCCGCTGTTAATGCCTCACCGGCCGGGGCCCCACGGGCAAAGGTCCGTCCGTGCAGCGCGGTCCCGTCCGGGCACCACCGGGGCTGAACGGGACCCCCGGGGCTGGGCTGGGGCTTTCCCCACGTCTCCCCCATCACATGGGTCTGGATGGAATGAAACCCCCCCCCCCCGCTGTGGGCATCACGGGCTGTGGGTCCCGGTTCGCCCTCCAACCGCCGGTCCCGGTGCTGAGCCGCTGTCCCTTAGGGGGTACTCGCAGGACGCCGAGGGCAGCTGGTTCCGCTCCCTGTTTGTGCACAAGGTGGATCCCCGCAAGGACGCGCATTCCAACCTGCTCTCCAAGCGGGAGACCAGCAGCCTCTACAAGATCCAGTGTGAGTGCCCCCACGGCGGGCACGGGGCTGGGGCGCTCCCCCCATCACCCATGGGGGACCCCCCCTCCCCGGGTCCAGCCCCAGCCTGGCAGCCGCTCTGTGCTCTCCCCGCAGTTCACAACGTGAAGCCGGAGTGCCTGGATGCCTACAACGGGCTGACGTGAGCCCGGCACCGGGGCTGCAGCGGGAGGGCTTGGGCTGCGCCCTGCTCCTTGCCTCGGTTCCCTCCCTGTGGAACGGGTGCATCCCCCCCCCCCGAGCCGTCCCTGCCCGCACCCCTCGTGCGGGGCTGGGGGGGGGGGGAGCAAACGGGGCTATCGGGGGTGTTTTGGGGTGGTGCTGCCCCCCCACCCAGCTCCTTTCTCTGTGCTCCCATAGGGAGAAGGTGCTGCCCAAGCTGCACTTGGACCCGGACTACCCCTGTGACCTGGTGGGCAACTGGAACACTTGGTACGGGGAGCAGGACCAGGCAGGTGAGGGCAGCGCCAAGGGCAAAGACCTCGGCTCACCCGGGGGTCTGGGACACGGAGGGAGAGGTTCGGGAGCCGTTGGATGGACTCGGGGGGTGCTCTCCCCATCCCATCCCCGTCCCATCCCCGTCCCATCCCCGTCCCATCCCCGTCCCATCCCCGTCCCATCCCCGTCCCATCCCCACTCCATCCCCATCCCTCTCTCTCCTCACTCCCAGTGCACCTCTGGCGCTTCTCCGGGGGGTACCCAGCACTCTCGGACTGCATGAACAAGCTCAAGCAGAACCAGGTACCAGCGGGATGAGGGTGGGGAGGAGCAGCTCGGGCTCCCCCCATCACCTCTGCCTGACTCCCCCCACCCCGGGGCTTGTCCCCAGGAGTACCTGGAGTTCCGCAGGGAGCGGAGCCGGATGCTGCTGTCCCGCAGGAACCAGCTGCTCCTGGAGTTCAGCTTCTGGAACGAGCCCCTGCCCCGGCAGGGACCCAACATCTATGAGCTCAGGACCTACAAGCTGAAGGTGAGACCCACAGAGGGAGGGTCCTGCTTTGGGGGGGGCAGTCCCCACATCCCTCTTGGAGCGGATGAGGTCCGGCTGCCCCCTCTGCTTCCTTTTCTCCTCTATTCCTAGCCAGGGACCATGATTGAATGGGGCAACAACTGGTGAGTGGTGGCTGTGCTGGGAAGAGACCCCCCCTGGATCAATGGGGGGGCTCTTTGGGAACCTCCCCCCCGTGTTGCCCCCAGGGCTCGGGCCATTAAGTACCGTCAGGAGAACCAGGAGGCTGTGGGGGGGTTCTTTTCCCAGATCGGGGAGCTCTACGTCGTGCACCACCTCTGGGGTAAGGGGTCCCTGCCACCCCGGGGGTACCCCCACTGCAGAGGCTGGCTTGGGGGGGGGCGCTGGGTACCAGCTCCATCCTCTCCATACAGCCTATAGGGACCTGCAGTCCCGGGAGGAGACGAGGAACGCAGCCTGGAGGAAGACAGGTTGGGACGAGAACGTGTATTACACGGGTGAGTGGGGACCCCCTGCATTGGGGACCCCCCCCCACATTGGGGACCCTGCCTGTATTGGGGACCCCCTTTCCTGACCAGTCTCTTCCTTCCTTTCCCAGTCCCGCTGGTCCGGACCATGGAATCCCGGATAATGATTCCCATGAAGATCTCCCCGCTGCAGTGAGGGGGGGTCTGCCCACACCCCAAGGGGCTCCCTTCCTGCCTGCACCCCGGCCTCTGCTCTCCTGCCCCCCCCCCATTATGGGGTGGTCTGGGATGGGGGGGAGCCGCCCATCCTGCAGCGGGTCCCCATGTGGGGCAGGGGCCGGCGCTGCGGGGGGGGGCAGAGGTTTGGGGGTGTCTTAATTCCTCCTGATGGGCCCGGTGGGGGCCGTGTCCCCAATTAAATACTGACCATGCCAAAGCCTGGCCCCTGGGGGGAGTGGGGCTGGGGGGGGGGGGGAGCAAATTGGGGTGCTCCAACCGCCCCCTGCATGGGGAGCAGAGCCCCCAGCCTGGTGTCAGCCATGGGTGTCCCCTGCACCAGAACCCCCCCCCTTGCTTTGGTGCCCTGGTACTGCCCGGTCACCCCCAAACCCCTCCGTGTGACATCAGGGACCCCAAACCCCTCCGTGTGACATCAGGGACCCCCCCAAACCCCTCCATGTGACATCAGGGACCCCCCCAAACCCCTCCATGTGACATCAGGGACCCAAACCCCTCCATGTGACATCAGGGACCCCCCAAACCCCTCCATGTGACATCAGAGCCCCAAACCCCTCCATGTGACATCAGGGACCCAAACCCCTCCATGTGACATCAGGGACCCCCCCAAACCCCTCCATGTGACATCAGGGACCCCCCCAAACCCCTCCATGTGACATCAGGGACCCCAAACCCCTCCATGTGACATCAGGGACCCCCAAACCCCTCCATGTGACATCAGGGACCCCAAACCCCTCCGTGTGACATCAGGGACCCCAAACCCCTCCATGTGACATCAGGGACCCCAAACCTCTCCATGTGACATCAGGGACCCCCAAACCCCTCCATGTGACATCAGGGAACCCCCAAACCCTTCCATGTGACATCAGGGACCCCAAACCCCTCCATGTGACATCAGGGACCCCAAACCCCTCCATGTGACATCAGGGACCCCAAACCTCTCCATGTGACATCAGGACCCCAAACCCCTCCATGTGACATCAGGGACCCCAAACCTCTCCATGTGACATCAGGGACCCCCAAACCCCTCCATGTGACATCAGGGACCCCAAACCTCTCCATGTGACATCAGGGACCCCAAACCCTCCCGTGTGACATCAGGGACCCCAAACCTCTCCATGTGACATCAGGGACCCCAAACCTCTCCATGTGACATCAGGGACCCCAAACCCCTCCATGTGACATCAGGGACCCCAAACCTCTCCGTGTGACATCAGGGACCCCAAACCCCTCCATGTGACATCAGGGACCCCAAACCTCTCCATGTGACATCAGGGAACCCCCAAACCCCTCCATGTGACATCAGGGACCCCAAACCCCTCCATGTGACATCAGGGACCCCAAACCCCTCCATGTGACATCAGGACCCCAAACCCCTCCATGTGACATCAGGGACCCCAAACCCCTCCATGTGACATCAGGGACCCCAAACCTCTCCATGTGACATCAGGGACCCCAAACCCCTCCATGTGACATCAGGGACCCCAAACCTCTCCATGTGACATCAGGGACCCCAAACCCCTCCATGTGACATCAGGGACCCCAAACCTCTCCATGTGACATCAGGGACCCCAAACCTCTCCATGTGACATCAGGGACCCCAAACCCCTCCATGTGACATCAGGGACCCCAAACCTCTCCATGTGACATCAGGGACCCCAAACCCCTCCATGTGACATCAGGGACCCCAAACCTCTCCATGTGACATCAGGGAACCCCCAAACACCTCCATGTGACATCAGGGACCCCAAACCCCTCCATGTGACATCAGGGACCCCAAACCCCTCCATGTGACATCAGGGACCCCAAACCCCTCCATGTGACATCAGGGACCCCAAACCCTCCATGTGACATCAGAGCCCCAAACCCCTCCATGTGACATCAGGGACCCCAAACCTCTCCATGTGACATCAGGGACCCCAAACCCCTCCATGTGACATCAGGGACCCCAAACCCCTCCATGTGACATCAGGGACCCCAAACCTCTCCATGTGACATCAGGGACCCCAAACCCCTCCATGTGACATCAGGGACCCCCAAACCCCTCCATGTGACATCAGGGACCCCAAACCTCTCCATGTGACATCAGGGACCCCAAACCCCTCCATGTGACATCAGGGACCCCAAACCCCTCCATGTGACATCAGGGACCCCAAACCTCTCCATGTGACATCAGGGACCCCAAACCCCTCCATGTGACATCAGGGACCCCCAACTCTCTGTGTGCTCCTGGTGCCATTGGGTCCCCATCCGTGTCGCCCCCCCCAAGCCCATGGATGCCCCCGCTATCACTGGGGGTCCCCAGCACCATGGGGAACCCCGCTCCTCGGGGCAGCCTCCCCCCAAGGCGGGGTTGGCCACGCCCACTGCGACCGAAGCCACGCCCACTTATGATCGCCGCTCGCGGTCCTCCGGTGAGAGCGTCCGCTAGGGGGCGCTTTTAGGCGCGCCATGCCGCTCTAGTCTGCTCGTCTGTCGTCACTTCCGGGTGGAGCTGGGGGAAGCGGCGCGGTCCTGGTGTGTGGGGTCTGTGGGGCTCAATGGGGCGGAGGCTCCGGTGTGTGGGGTCTGTGGGGCTCGGTGGGAATGGGGGTCGCTGTGTGTGGGGTTCGCGGGGCTCAGTGGGGTGGAGGTTC